AAATTTTCAGATATGTACATATATTTTAAATTTTTGCTTTAATCTGTATCCTTTTAATATTTAATTAGATACCTTAAGAATAAAGCTTAAAACGAAACAGCACAGCAACCCTTTTCTGTTCATCTTAAAAACACAAAACCCTCTTTTGTTAAAATTCGGCGCTGCACAAAATCCTGGCTTTTATATTTTCCAACAAAATACCACTTCGCAACCCTGGATTTTCACGAAGCGTTTCATTCGGGTCGTAGTTTTGCAACTTCGGGCCATTCGGTGTTGTATGCCATATTGGCTGCCATATTGTTCACACTGTCATCGCCATATTGAACACCCTGTCAACTATCTGTCAACCCTAAGATATCTCACATGTATTCTTCCACAAAGTACAAGACTACAAGACACTGTTGAGCACTTTACGCACAAATTCAAACACATTCACAAAAAGTTTATTAGTTTCCAATACATGCGCAATTGCAGGCATTGCTAAAATAAATTTGTTGTCATGGAAACCATATTTGTGATGAGGAAATCATGTCTTGGAAGTAATGACTTCACAATAAAAGTACCCGGTATTGACAAAATTTTAAGAATATCCTACAATCTCCTGGATTTTATGGAAGCAATTTAAGTGAAAAATTACTTTAATTTTTGGAATTTTATATGGAAATTGCCAGAAAATAAAATATAATTTTTCATTTAAATTGCTGGTGAAACCGGCTGTCAGCCCCATTCTTAATTTAAACATAACTTATAACAAGTTATACGTACAACGGCAGCAAGAACTACCACTAATGTACAACAAACTCATCATTTTGAGATTCAGAACCGTCGCGTCGAAAATTTAAGCTGTTGTAGCAACACCACCTTGTATGAATTCGCCTTGAGTCGTATTTATTTCCTTTAAAAGGCTTGACCAAACAGCAAATTTGATATGTTATTGCGTCCGCCAACCTATATTAACGCTGCGTTAAAAGCAATCTGCGCTGAAGCGTAATTTATTTTGCTACATTCATATTCTTTATGATAACACTGAACTAACGTTACGTTTTAGTATACACATTATTGCAGGCGTTTGTAAATTCTTGAATATTATTTATTTTTATTTATAAAGAAATAAATAAATTCACAAATATTGTTGTAATTAATTAAATTGTAGAACTGTAGTTCTGAATTGCATCTATGCGTACGATGAGTACGCTCATATACAAAGCGGTGTCAATTCAATCTTATATGGTTATTTTTTTGCACAGATACTTTTGACATAATAAGAGCATCACTAAAGACCGGTCCACATAGAACTTTCGCGTTGGCTTTGGCGTTGGCGTTGGTTTGACAGAACGCACGTTAAAAGTATGCTTGCTACAATGAACGCTTGGCAGCGAATGCTTGGGCTACTAAATTAACATACTAACGACTGATAAATTAATATTTCATATCAATAATTGCATTAAAAACGATATTTCTTGTCCGCACTTGATTAAAAAGGAAAAATAATTCACATAATTTTATTTATTTACAACAGCTGACGAGCGACGCACGCGAAAAGTTGTGAGTTGGCCATCTTTTTGCTTTGTGTTGGCGTGAGCGGTGCCGAATTTTGGCTATGTGGACGGATGCATTTGAATTCATGTATTCATAGTCAGCTGTTGAAGCGTTGTTATTTAAAAATTCGTAGCTGCAATCGGGTGAGGAAATTTAAATTCGATGAATTTTGTGTAATATATTATATTTATTAACAAATAAACTGCAAAATTTAGTACTGCTGGAGTTTTTTTACAGAACTGAAGTGATTTCAGAATGCTTACAAATTCTGTAAAATGTTGCACAGACCAGTGGCGCTTTCAGTGATTTGTGAGGTTAGGTTGGGTGTGCCACCTAAAATATAGAAAGTCCGAATGTCGGAATGGAAAGGGCCATGGAGACGCATTTCAGTTAAAGACCTTGTGATGCCGCTTGTCCCAAATATTTCCAATTTCAACTCTTGGTTATAAAAGACCTAACTACAATAAGTCACTGAAAGCGCCAACATCAAAAACATTTGAAAATGTGATGTGCAGCGGTTTTTATTAGTTATAAATTTAATGAAGGGTAGAATAAGTATGTAGTTTATATAAACTGTGAAAATGTTGCACTGATTTGTTGCGCTTTCAGTGACTTAATGGAACTTGGGTCTTCTGCGTTAACAAACATGTAGAAAGCCTGAATGTTTTAAGGTAATTGCGATGAACTAAGGGTGTTCCAAAAATTTTCAATTGCATTTCTTTTGGTTGTATTAAAGCCATAACTCCAGTAAGGGCCATTTTTCGTTAGTTAACTACTATGCTAATGTTAAGCCACCATTTGACTGCACCACCAGTTGACTGCAGTTAACTAATGTACATCCATTAGCTAACCAATAGTTAAAAACAGCTGTTTTTGTAGAAGTTAACTAATGACTGGGAAAATGGCCCGAAGTCACTGAAAGCGCCAACAGCAAAAACATTTGGGAAGTGTAGTTACAAAGTGGAGTTGTTTGGAGATTTTTTTATTGAGATGAACTTTTTCTTGATAAAAAAAATTCTAGGCAACAGCAATCTCTGTGACTGCAACAAATCTACAAATGTACAAATCGGTGGTCCATGTTTAAGGAACTACTGACTTATAACTTAGATTTACATATTGTACATAGAAAGCTATCATAGAAAGCCAACAAGTATTAATATGAAGCATGCGCAACTTAGTTGCAAATCAATATACCTTCTACCGTGGTTTTTACCTTCAGAGTGCCAAAAATACTATTGCTGTTCAGGATGTGGTTCAAATGATCTTGCATTTGCATATTTCAGTGTATTTTTAAATTCGCAACAATAAAATGCAAGCGGTTACCATTGTAGGAAGCATAAATTTGCAAATGCAAATCCAAGACCATTTGCACAATAATAATAATAATAATAGATTGGCGTTTACACATATGTTAGTGTTTGGCCGAGCTTCTCCTCCGACTTGTGGCGTGCGCCTTGATGTTGTCACACAAAGCGGAGGGACCTACAGTTTTACGCCGACTCCGAACGGCGATTGTATTTTTATGAGAAGCTGTTTTTCATGGCAGAAATACACACGGAGGTTTGCCATTGCCTGCCATTTGCACAATATCCTGAACAAATATTGTTATATTTTTGTTCCTCTACAATATCACTGTAAAGCCTTCCCATTTTTACGCTGCCTGTGCCGCTAGTTTCTACAAGTAAAATATTCTAGATAAAGATTAAAATTATTAAAAAAAAATATTAAGGCAAGATAAAGATAATGAAGTTAAAGATTATTAGGATAAAGAGAAATACTAGCTGTCTTCATCTAAAGTGATTAACTGCTGATAGACTTGATAAAATGATAAATTTTATAATTTTCATATATGAACTGTCAAACTTTGTGTGGAAATCTATAACACAATAACTAATTAAGATAAAACGTAACTAGCCATATAAGTTAAATAATAAACAATTTAATGCAATTATTTACCAAGGTGCGTTCATATAAGAGTGGGGAGTAACCGATAAATTTAAGAAATTTATCCCTTTAACAATTTAGATGATACCCCTATTATTTAATTCAAGATTATTAAGATTTAATATCAATATAAAGATTATTAGAGTAAATATTAAGATTTAAGAATAAGTTAAAGGCTATTGGGGTAAGTGTATAAAAATACTAATACTTTTTTTGTTTTTTTCAGAAGATTTTATACGAGATATCAGCGGCAATTTGACGTTCACAGCAAACAAAATTAAGTTCACTCAATTCACTTAATTAACAAACCATAATAACAATCCCAACGGTTTTTACCCCCCATTCCTGCCCATCCGCACGAGGGGCGTAGTCCGCATGAAGTACGGAACCAGTATTTTCAATTTTTGCGCCGAGTCACGATAGGCAGGAGTTTGTTAAGTGTCGAGATCTAAAACACTTCAGCTACAGAACTAAATTCATCAGCCGATTTTATGTCTTTATGTTAATGATTCATTTATTGAGAGGATGCTATCGCTTTCTTAATGCTGAAAAGCGGATCTGATATATCAAACGTGCTGGAATGAGAGTTAAAAGCGTGGCATAATCAACGGAGTGGGTCATGCAATTCAAAATTAGTTTTACAAGCTTTCATAAATAGGGGACAAAAGTGTCTTGATACCCGGGAGGGAACATTAAGGCTAACTTCACCCAGAAGAAGCGGACTTGAAACTGAGCCTGTTAGTAATTTAACTATAAAAATTGTACCAAGCATTTACCTGCGACTGGAAAGTGTAGGAAGATAATAAGTTTTAATCGGCTCGTATAAGGCGGAAGGTTATATTGAGAATCTCAACGGAAATTTCTTAAAGCAAAAAGTAGGAATTGTTTTTGAATTGACTCGATCTTGTCTGAGTAAATTTGTACCTTGGATTCGAAACCACCGAACCGTTTTCCAGAATTGGTCTAACTAATGCTGTAAACAGGGTTTTAGTGATATAAGGGTCACAAAATTCTTTTGACCATTGTTTCACAAAAGCAAGTACCCTTGTTGAATGTCACATTAATATTAAAAATTAAATTATTAAAATTAAAATTAAGCTTAGGATCCATTGTGATCCAGGTCCACAAAATTGTATACCTGTTCCAGGTTATGGTTACCTATTGTATAAGAGGGATGAACAGCTCTTCGCGAGAGGCACATTACTTTACATTTCTTAAGATTTAGAGGCATAAGATTTACTTTACACCAGTAAGCCATGCTGTTTAAGTCTGATTGTAGCAAATACCTTTCTTTAATTGAAACCTACGATTTATAAAGCTTTAAATGATCTGCATACATTAAAATTTTGGAAAATTGTATATCTGTAGAAATATCGTTTATAAAAAGTAAGAACAGAACCGGGCCAAGGCGGCTACCTTGAGGGACTCCTGAAGTAACATCAATGACGTCAGAGATAGTATTTTTAAACATTACCCTTTGTGTTCTATCATAGAAATATGAAGAGATCCAACGTAGAAAATTAGGGGGAAGACCAAGAAGACCAAGTTTATAGATGAGCAACGAGTGGCACACTTTGTCAAATGCTTTACTGAAGTCAGTATATATAACATCAACAGTTTTGCTTTCACTAAATACTTTTGAGGTAAGTTGATTTGCCCTTGCAAAATCCATGTTGACTATATGAAATGCTAGAAGAGATAGAATGCGTCAACTGATTTGTTATAATTGCTTCAAATAATTTAGCAATTACAAAAAGCTTAGCTATTCCCCGGTAGTTCTCCATATAGTTGGAAAAACTCCCTCTTTAAAAGACAAATTAAATAACGCTGTTAACGGCTCATAGAGATAATCAGCACAATTTATAAGAATACAAGTAGAGCTCTGATCAGGACCATAACTGAAGGACTGCTTTAAGGATTTCAGACAAACTACTACATCATCGGGAGATATTACTGGGATATTTATTGAGTTTATTGGACTTAGTTTAAAAGGATAGTCAATGTTAGCATTTGAGTTAATGGAATAATTAGATTTAAAAAACTGAGCGAACATGTTAGAAATTCTTTGATTATCACCAGACGCGGTATTTTGATACTTGATGGCGGAAGAAAACCCACGTACATTTAGCTTGGAGTTTACGAAGTCATAAAATGATTTGGGGTTATATATTATACGCCGTTTGATTTTACATAAGTAAGCTTTATAACACTTTTTGTTTAATTCAAAAAACTTATGACGCAAAAGTGAGTATTTTACATAGTATGAATGTAAACCGGTTTTTTTGTGCAATCTAAAATAACGAAACTTTCTGTATTTAAAATTTTTCACTTCTTTAGTGAACCATAACTGTGTTTGTTCTTCAGGAACATACATGCGTTTAGGCACATGCTTTTCAAATAATTTATGTAAAGTAAAGTTAAAAAGTGCAACGATTTGTTCAATATTTTCTTTATATGCAGGCCACGACAATTAAGACAGTTCTTTGTTAAGCATTTTAAAGTTGGCTTTCGAAAAATCAAAGCGAATATTTGGTTCGTATGCTTGGGTACCGCAATTTTGACCATCACTTATAACTTCGTAAGATATCTCCATAGCAGTGTTTTAGACATCTTCGGGCAAAACTAGTGGATCACACTTATTTACAACGGACTTAGATGCATCATCAACATAAACAAGATCTAATACTTTACCAAACTTATTGTGAAGTACATTAACCTGAGTTAGGCAGAGTTCAGCCATCTCCTCTAAAAATACGTTGTTGCACGCACTAGACGCGAAAGGTACGATATCATTGTCAATGATGTTCCATGATATGCCTGGTAAATTAAAATCACCCAACACAATCATTGAATCCGTCTGTAAACTAACAGATTTCAGTAAAGAGATGAGTCGTGAATACACTAATGTGTCAGATCGGGGAGGGATATAGCATAGAGCTAAGTAAATATACCCTTTTCCAACCTGTACACGAATGCATTTGAATTCTACTGAATCAATGTGTGGAAGACTAACTTCTTCAGATGGTATTGATATGATAATTATGTGTATGATAATTATTTGGAAGAATCTCTGAATTGAAAATGTGAGGTTTCAGCCAAGTTTCAGTGAAGGAAAGAATATTATAATTACATTCAAGGCCTTTAAGGTATAAGTTCGTTAATTTAGTATTTAAGCCTCTTACATTTTGGGAATAAATACTTAAAGCAGATTTAATAATTAGTTTTTTGATTCAGTGTTATGACGGGGAATATTAGCTAAGTTATTTCCTTTTTTGGACCTATATTCGAATTCAAGAACGAAAGCTCCGGGGGCCAAAAAGAACCACTAAGCAGCGCATTAAAATTATCTAAATTTACGTCAATTTTAAATGAAGCAATATTTGTTTCGTATTTAAAATTAAATTTTCTGATGCTTAAGTCGACAGTTGTAATTTTTGATGAGATATAAAGCTTTATATCGTCTTCGGTAGTGTCTCTCGAAAATCTAGAGACAAAGATTGACTTCTTTGGCGGAACCACAACTAGTTTCCTTGTATCAGACTGGAGTACCGGCGGAAGAGGTTGAGTTACAGCGTTACTAGTTGAGGATAGGGAAGGCCATGGAGGCTTTTAAGACGATGCCACCACTTCAATGGGCGAAGANGAAGCAATATTTGTTTCGTATTTAAAATTAAATTTTCTGATGCTTAAGTCTTCAGTTGTAATTTTTGATGGGATATAAAGCTTTATATCGTCTTCGGCAGTGTCTCTCGAAAATCTAGAGACAAAGATTGACTTCTTTGGCGGAACCACAACTAGTTTCCTTGTATCAGACTGGAGTACCGGCGGAAGAGGTTGAGTTACAGCGTTACTAGTTGAGGATAGGGAAGGCCATGGAGGCTTTTAAGACGATGCCACCACTTCAATGGGCGAAGAGGAAGATACTTCAGGCTCGTTATTATCCGAAGCAGATTTCATTACACGCTCTTTTGAGGCTGAGGATTCTGATGCTGGAGGACATGGAGAAGATAGATTAATTAAGTCAGTCGGAAGATTATTCTGACGTGCAACGACAATAATTTCCTTAGATGGACTATGAAGACGCTTACGTTTAGACACACGGATATCCTTAACAGAATGCAGGGTGTCTTAGCATTTGAATGGTTTAAACACATTTTCATAATACTTAAATTTTTTCTGTCAGTACTGACAATTCTCTTCCTATTTCTGTAAAACCATTTCTGGTTTGCCTAAATAGCGTTCAGAATCGCTTTTAATTTGGCAAGTATCAAGATCGCACTTCATATTGAAAGACAAAAAAATAAAATAAATTATAACAATTAAGGAGCTGATGTAAATAGCTTTAAATAAATGTAGCGAACAGTTTGAGTATCACTGTAATTATGACACTTAATAAACGCAACGCAAACAGCTGTGACAAGAATTACTAGAAGATGTAAACAAAAAGAGTAGAACAAATGTGCAAAAACAAAATGAATTCAGTTAACTACAAAGGATACAACAACAATGATAGCAACAAATGACTCGGCAAGATTAGAATGTATGCTAGTGAAATTTAATTAAATTTCGTTTAATATAAAACACAATAACTTTCACTTAGCTTCAATTATTTCACACTAAGATGCTCATAGGCACTTTTTATCACTACTTTAATTAGCACAATAAACTTAGCAAATAGAAAGCCAAAATCAGAGCAAAATATATGTAAGTACACCTCACAGCTTGATGTTTGTAGATATTTGCGAAAATATTAATAATCAGTAGTTTAGTACTAAAATTACCTTGGTCACTTTTAACGTAGAATATTTTAGTTTACATTATAAGCATGAACAAAAAAACTCTTGCCAATTTGATAGCAAGGAAAATAAAAAATTTAAAGCGTCAGTTGCAAAATATAGAAAACTGGGCGAACTTGCTCATCAAATGGAAGTTGGTATTAGTAGTGAAAGAGTAGTTTGTTGTAAGAAGAACACATGCCTAGTACCAGTAGAGCCGCCGGTCTTCAAAGTATTTTGCCTAACGCGCAAAGTATATCAGATTCTTATTTAGTGAGTGATAGTTATCCCGATAGTGGTAGCGATAGTGAGGGGTTTTTTTTTGACGTTGACGAGATAGATGACAGTGAAGAAAACACAATTCCAACTTACGTTCGGAGAATCGAGTTAAAGGCTTGGGCTATTAAAAATAATGTAACTCAGAACGTGTTGACCGACTTACTTCAAACATTGAAGAAGGTAGGGGTTGACGGGCTACCTTTGTCTGCTAAAACGCTTTTAGGTACTAGTCGAGAAACTGTAGATATTAAAACCATATAGCTGTGCCCTTACATCTATTCCGTGTGTTGCAATATCCACGAAAGCAGCAGTTAATTTTTTATGAAGAAAATTATTACAAAATATTCAAAAAGTTCTCTACTTATATGTTTGGCTTTTCTTTGTTTTATTTTTCCAACGTCAAAAGCTGGATTTTTTTTTTTAAGTTGGTACAACAAAAAATACGAAACACGTTTTCTGTCAGATAGCTTACATGGCGGATAAGAAGAAGTGAGACTACCTTCTAAAAATTATTGTATCATGCTTATACCATTACTTCATCACCTTTTCAATGATTTTTTAAGCTAATTTAAAATGGATTCTGAAGAAGCCATTTTCCAAAAATTATGTTCGCATGTGGAATCAAGCCACTGGAGAGCAAATGACGGTACTCCTTTTTTTCTTAAATATAACTTTCACTGCAATATTAACTTTTTTCAGAGATTAAAATTCGCAAGCGTCAATTTTCAGTGGAATGTCCCCATGACGGACGCCCTCCACCGAAATATTCAGCCCTTTCCGTAGATTTGCCGTTACCACAAAGTAGCCACGCAGCAATAATGGCTAAATTAGATGAAGACCAATTATAATCGAAACTGGAGCTGAAATACAAGGCGCCCTCTCCGATAAGGTAATATCAGACACTGTAAATACTACAAATTCCCTTTATAACATCGTGATTTCCCATTTCAGATGCCTGAACGTGGCGAGTTCCAAGCCCAAAGCAAGCTGTTGCAAGAGTGCAGAGTTTGATGGATTTCGCCGACCTAAACGGCGTTGATGGATGAACCGACCCGAACGGGGCTTAGTAGTCGCTACAACAACAACAACAAGAGTGCAGAGTTTTGACAGCTAGGATTCAACAGTCTGTCAGTCGCATCACCGGTGACATGGAAAGCGAGGAGTCAACCGACTTAGCTACTATGATATCCATGTCATCGGTGGAGCAAGTGCAGGCTGTTGAAACCAAGCTTAAAAATAAAGCTTACGCTGACGCAATGGTAACATAATGATATTGATATAAGTATATTTAATTTGTAAATAACACTCTTTCTTCGATATTTGGATTGGGCTTTTAGCAAGAGCAAAAGGTACCAAAGGAACAATTGACGGGGTTATGCGTGGCTTGTTCAAAGATGACACCGTGGGAAATTTTAATTTAGAGGGAAGGGCAGGCAAGTTCCTACTTGTTGGTTTTAAAGTGACTGAGCTCCTCTTTGGTTCGTATCTATGTAACAGGAAAAAGAATATCTACGAGTTGCTAACACTAAATTCATTTATTAGATATTTTTCCAGAAAAATCGAAGGAGGACGTTCGCACTTTAATGCGAAAACATATAACTTTGTCATAATAGAAATAATCAAAAAAATATATATCAAAAAATAAAAAATTTAAGTAACAGTGTAGAATAAGCATACGAAAGAAACTGTAAATAGTAACATTAAGTTTTTTAGAAGAATGTTCTGCACATAATCTTGCAAATGCATATCTGTGGTTCAGGTGTAAACCATTTCTTTTAAATTTGAAATGGAATTATGTTTATACCTGGGACTGCATATACATTTGTCACCTTAATTCACAAAAGCCCTAACCAACAAATTTTTAATTTTATAGGAGCAGCAAAAAACACTATAAAAAGAGTAACCAAAACAGGTAGGACTTAAAAAAGGGCATGCAACTCCGTTGTTTTTGGTACTAAGACCTTAAAATTTTTATTAAAGTTGTATTTTGATCCACCTTACTAAAATCTCTGAAAAACGGAATTTCGAAAAAAGCGTTGGTTAGGGCCTTTATGAGTTAAAGTAACGATATGTACAAAACATATGCACCGGATACTGAATACATTTATTGTAATGAATAGGATAGAATATCTTGTTTTATATAATAGAGTAAATTTATTTAAGTAATAGTATTAAGTTTATGAATATATTCTTACTTACTTATACTTATTGTATATTACTGATACTGATTATTGAATACTTATTGTACATTATTAGGGGTATTCGGGACTTGTTGTATATGCCCGAGTATTCTGCGTTTGAGGTATTTATGATTTTTGGTAGATAATGCAGTAAAATTTTTAACAGCAATGCAACGTCGATAATAAGAGCTGCAGAACTGAACCGCTCAGGAACAATTTACTACAAGAGCGTGCAATTACTGGCTTGTGCCAGCTTATGACATCGACATCATCGGTAACAAAAACCGCGAAGTCTGTTCTGCCTTTTCCAAGTTAGATAACGAAGCAAAGCGAAAGGGTATAGTGGTAAACGAGGACAACACGAAGTATATCCTGTCATCAAATAAACAGTCAGCACATTCGCGCCTTGGCACCCACGTCACTGTTGTCAGTTATAATTTTGAGTCGAGAAAGTACAGAATTTCGTTTACTTGGGAGAACCAGCATTAACACTAATCATAATGTCATCATGGAAATCCAACGCAAAATCACTCTTGCCAACAAGTGCTACTTTGGACTGAGTAGACAATACAGGAGTAAAGTCCTCACTCATTGTACAAAGATCACACTCTATAAGTCACTCATCATGCCCGTCCTGGTATATGGCGCGGAGGGCATGGACAATGACAACATCTAATGAAGCGGTTCTTGGAATATTCGAGAAAGAGTTTGCGGAAGATTTACGGGCCTTTACGCGTTGACGACGGCGAGTATCGCAGACGCTGGAACGATGAGCTTTATGAGCTTTACAACAACATGGGCATAGTGCAGCGAACTAAAATACAGCGGCTCCGCTGGCTTGCCCATGTCTTACGAATGGACTCCGACGCTCCAGCTCTGAAGGTATCTATTCAACTCGGAACCAGCTGGTGGTAGCAGAGGAAGAGGCAGGACCCACTGCGGTGGAAAGAACAAGTTGAGAAGGACTTGGCTTCACGCGGCATTTTCAATTGTCGTCAGTTGGCGCAGAAGAGAAACGACTGGAGTGCTTTGTTGAACTCGGCCAAAATCGCTTAGGCGGTTACTGCGCCGAAAAATAAGAAGAAGAATGCAACGAAGATTTGATTGCATTAACTGCCAAAAAGCATAAATATCCGAAATACAGAACACAAGGGCATTTGTAACAAATCCCGAACATATCTGGTATAAATATAACATAAATAAAACATGAAAAAGATTGTATTATAATTTATAATTAACACACGTAAATATTACAACTCTAAAATATTTTATACTAAAAAAATAATATTTATCTATTTTAAAGTACATTTAGTTAGGTTTCTACAGAACTTTTTTTAGTTAAGCTTAAATTATGATTTAATCATACTTTACAATAGATAAGTAAACGCCCTAGGTGTAAATAGTAGTGTTAAGTTTGGAAATATTAGTATCGTTCAAAAATAAAATTAAGATATGAAGCTGCTAAATAAAAAATATGAACACAAAATATGAGTGTATAAATAAAAAATTAATTTTAAAAGTAAAAATAACAGAAAGTGAATATGAAGTCCAAAACTGTAGTAACACTTACTTTATTGAATTAAGTATTAAAAATAAATAAATTAAGAATATAAAACTATAACTAGAAACAACTCAAAAAACAAAAAGAGTATAAATAGTAGCATTAACTTTTTAATTAAGTATCAAAAAATAAATACCCTAAATTTTAAATAAGAAACTTGAAATGCAGAAATCTTGTAAATATAGGTATTATGAAAACAATAATTATGTATTCTAGTGTACAAAACTAATTTTCTTAATTAAATGATATAGTAAAAATAAAATTGTTGATTTTCTACTTATTTGGTTTTTGCAGAGTTTATGATGATATATGTAAATGGGTAGTTTATTAGTACTGAGGAATTTATAATAGGCATGTTTTATTCAACCATCACAAGCAAATAGCTAAATCTTGGTCAAATAAAACGAAATTAGCTTATTTCCTATGTTAGCCTAATTTTGACAGTTGTTTGACTGCAAATAGTGTCAAAGTAAGTTTTTGCCTCTTTCTGATTGGCTGAAGGAGAAAATTTCTGATGCTGAATGGCAATGCCTCTTGTTCAATATCCAAGCCAAGACAGCTTTTCATAAGCCAATATAATTATGTTGGGTAAGTCCTCCATACAAAATAAGCTAATAGCTTAAATTTCTGGACAAATAAAACACGGCTAATGATAAAAATGATTCGTTTGTTTATTAGTACTGAGGACTTTATAATGAGAAAAATGAGCAGTTTGATGATTAGTGCTGAGGAGTTTATGATGATATAAATGATTAGACAAAAATTATGAGTTTGGTTATTAGTGCTGAGTAGTTTATGACAACAATGAGTAGTTTGTTTATTAGTGCTGATGAGTTTGTGATGACAACAATGAGTTGTTTGTTGATTAGTGCTGATGAGTTTGTGATGACAACAATGAGTAGTTTTGTTGTCAGCGCTAATTAAATTATGAGCATAAAAATGATTAGTTGCCTTGTTTTTAGAGAAAGCAGCCATATTTCTCACTTATATGAAATTGCTATTGGTGGGAAAGAGATATATCACACCGACAAGGAAAGGTACTAAATTTTTTCCCATGGCCTGAACAAAAACTAATTCTTTAATAAGTACTTTTGCAATTACTGATAATGATAACATGAGCACTCATATGATACTCATCTGTCTTATAGGGTAAAATTTTAAAGTGTTGAAATACATTCATTGTTTTTGTGTCTTAATACTGCAATAATTAAAGTTTTTTATTTTTATCTCAGTGCGCGTTGATGTAAAATGTTTTTCGTGAATCCATTAAATATAAATGAACAAACTGGATGGAACAAACGTCGTGCTATTTGAACGTGCCCTCGTACTATGCTCTAAGTGCCTGTTTTTCTGCCACATATTAAAAAAAAAAAATACAAGCTTTAAAAAAAATTGGCCCACGCACCAATCTTCTTAAGAATTGATGTCCTCGAAAAAAGAATTAAAAAAACTTCTCTAATTGTTACCAGATATAAGTCGTAACTTTAAATTAAAGTTTCTCCTCTTACAGATATCGTCAATCGTCGACGATAAATGATCTGAAAGTATTTTGTAGATTGTGATTTTATTTTTCCTAAATTGATATTTGAACGTGACATTGTACTGTGCTCTAAGTGTCTGTTTGCCTGCCACATATTCAAAAAAAAAAAAAAACAATATGTTAACAGCCAAGGCGAATTAATATAAGGAGTACAAAAACAAAAATTTACATGTATTTTGTTTTTGCTTTGGCGGCATAAACTGTCAAAATCTGTAAGAAAGATCTGTGTAGAAATTCAAACAAAATTTTTCAATTTGATATCAGAAGCCGTGCGGCGAAACACATATACAAAATCAGCTGAGCTAGTAACACTACCTTATATAAACAACTTTTTGTCTCCTCTCCTAATTGAGTTCTCCCCTGCAAACGGTAAATAGTTTACTTGTTTTTGTTATTTATGGCCTTATAACAATTATATTCAATAATTTTTATTGAGCACGAGGCCGTTTGTCATGAAAAACTATTGTGGAAAAGCAAAAACAATTTAAAAAAAAATGGTAGAAGTGATTGCTATTTCGGAAATCAACACATTTCACAATCAAGCGCAGCTATTCCGGTGCTTTTAAAACCTGATCATGTGGTTGTTGCTTTTGTTGTTTTTTGTTAATAATTCTATTTTTAGAATGTTTAAGTTTAGTTGTGCTCGTCCTTAAGTTATTTGTTTTGGTTATTTATGGCCTTATAACAATTATGCTCAGCTGGAGTCGTCGATTCGAATCCCGCTGAAGAAGTCTGATGAGGAAATATGGTGATTTCCAAAATAGCTATCACTTCTAACATTTTTTCAAATAATTG